CGCCAGCGCTGGTATACAGGCGCTGGCGCTGGCGCTGGTTTAGGCGATGCGCCGGCGTTGATACTGGCGTCGGTGCTGATGTCGGCGCTGGCGCTGGCGCAGGCGTCGGCGTACGTGCTGGCGGCGGTGCTGGCATCAGTGCGGGTGTAGGCGCTGGCGTTGGAGCAAGGGCAGGCGCTGGCGTTCGTGCTTGCCTCAGTGCTGGCGTCGGTGCTGGTGTCGGCGCTGGTGCTGGTGCAGGCGTAGGCGCTGGCGTTGCTGCTTGGTATCCGATGCTCTCGTCGAGCTCGAGGTGGTCGTCGGACTCCTCGTCGTCGTGGTGCTGCTGAGCGCGGCGCTGCAGGTCCCAGTCGCGGGAGTCAAACGTTTTTGTTGTGTTGTGAAGGAGCCTGCGAGAGCCCCAGCTAACCATCTGATAGCGGATGGGCCGGCACGCCCATTCTAGACCTGGGCCTTCCGCACCTAAACGTCTTGACCGTTCCTCTCGAAGCCCAAGCTTACTGGTTGTCCTATGTTGTTCGATGGCATCAGTGATGGCGTCGGTGCTGCCGTCGATGCTGGTGTGGGCGTCGGCGTCGGTGTCGGCGAAGGCGCCGGCGTTGGCGCTGGCGGAAAGGCTGACGACGGCGTGGGTGGAGCAGGAGCTGCAGTGGCTGCGTTGGTGATCGCCTGCGAGCGGGACGAGGCAGAGGACGGTGAAGGCGTAAGCTAGCAAGACGTCTTCGTTTTCGTGCTGTCGTGAACTGGTGAACGCTGGAGGTCGATTGGTGTTAGGTGGAGGTGAAAGGTCGGATCCAGGATGCAGGGGGTCGGAATGAAGAGCTGGTGGACGCTGAAAGTTGAGAGGAGTAAATGGAATGGGAGTGGAAAGGTGAAGGTGGGAGTGGGGATTCGGATTCGGGACGCTGGAAGTCGAAGTGCTGAGCAGGTTGGGATCGGAAGTCGATCGGAGGAAATGGAGGATCGAAATCGATAGGCGAAGAGGGGGGAAAACGTCAATGGATTCGTCGTCGCACTCGCCGGGCCAGGCGCTCAGCATCCGCATTTCATGGTCGTCTCAATGGGCGGGCGCCGCCAGTGCCTGGCGAATCCCGTACCCCATGGCTGAAGATTCGCCCCGTGGCCGTCGGTGCTGATACTGGCAAGCAGCTCGTACACGGGCACACCCGCGGCAAGCTTCGTATAGCAATTGATCCATGTAGTGCAGATTGTATTGTGGACGGTCTGCGAGATTCTGACTGTTGGTGACGCATGTGGTTCACAGTGCGATATATATATATATATATATAAATACACACATATATATACACACCACGTACGTGGAGACAGCTTGTCGCATAAACATGTTATCATCCGTCGAAATCCCAATAAACGCTATGTGCCAACCCATGCTGCAACATGTCCTGCCTCAGCCGTCGTCTCTGCCAGCGTCGTAGGACTGGGCAGTGGCAATCATGCTCCACCGCGTCCTGGGCCGACGGGCTGCATCGGAGAACGCGCGGACCTTGATGGCCCCGAAGGCTGCGCATGCGACGGTCTGTTGTCCACCTGTTCGGCACAGTGCGCAGCGATGCTGCGCATAACCTCGGCGGCACTCGGCGTCGTAGTCGTTGTAACTGCTGCACCGCTCGTCGTGCCAACCTGCCCGGGTAGATGAGCAAGCTCCACCGCGATAGCCGCGCCTGCAGGCACCACTCCATGCAGTATCCGTCTTGTCGAAATAAACGATCCATGAACCAACGCTGCGTACCCTTCTTGAAGCGCGCGTGCGCGGGTCTCGCCAGAGGTCCTGTTACCGAGCCTCCGACATCCAAACGGGCAGCGCGAATATGGATTCCGATAGCCGCACGTGCTCGAGCGATATTTCGCGATACCGTCGGCGCGCGTTGCCCGAGCCATGGTTGCAGCCGGAGAAGTATGCCGACCTGATCGCATTGAGACTTCACTTCTGTCAGCTCCGCAGCCAGTCGGCCCCAAGGAATGCCGCAATCGTTGGAGGCCTCCCACGCGTGCGTGCGCAACGTCGCCGCCTGGCAAGAGGTCAGCAAGGGTCGGAGCCGCGCGGACAAACCCAACTCCGTGGCGTGATGCATGTTTTCCGGTTTGCACCACCCTCCGGGCCCGGGGGCAACTCGCCGGACTGCTGCTGCTTCCCGCGCGAGGACGGCAGGCGGCGGCGGCTCCAGCTGGGCTGCGAAGATAAGCGCGGGCAAGACTAATATGTTGTAGGCGGTGTTCGCTAAGTGAAGACCAAGCTCGCTCCACCGCCATTCTCCCAGACGCTCTTCGAATTTCGCCATAGGTTTGTCCCATGACTTGTCCGCCTTACCTGGTCCAACATTAAACCCCCGATACTTCCCCGTAGTAGCCCAGGAAATTCGAACTGCTGTCGGATCACCATCAGTGGCTTGCTGCAAATGTGCCACGTCGGCGTCCCAAAGGGGAATGACCACGTACTTGGCAAAATTTAATGCGAGATTGGACACATATTCAAACACTCTGAAGGCGCCAAATACCCGTCGATGGTCCCGCCTCCAGGAGCGCAAGACCATCGCCGTGTCGTCGGCCAAAGCCCGAACGGTAGCCGCGGAGTGGCGCAGGTCGACGACGCGCAAGAAACTGTCCGATGCGAGGGCGAAGGGCAGCGGCCAGAGCGGGCAACCTTGCCGAATCCCCGCTTCCAGCGCTTCCCGTGAAGCCTTCCCTGCAATAGCAGAATGCCGATGGTCTTGTGGTAAAGTGAAGTGGACATCCCAATTGCCGTCGGCGGGAAGCCAGCTGCCTCGGTCATAGCCATGATGTGCTGCCTCGACACAGACGGGACGGCAGCCGTGAAGCCGAAGGGTGACATCGCCGCGTCCGTCTTTTCCAGCGCCGCCAGCATTGCAGTGTGCTCCACGTCCACTTCGTTCGAGAGCATCGAACGACCTTGTCTAAACCTTCTCTGCGATTTACCTACGCCAGGCGCCAGCGCCACCAGCGGGTCCCATCTCAGGCGGTAGGCGTTCGCTAAAATACGGTTGTCTGTACTGGTGATCATGAGAGGTCGCGTCCCATCGGGATTGTAAACTGGTTCTCTGGCAACATCCTCGCGGATCGGTTTCGGCAAACAACTACAGATACTCATTAAACAAGTCGTGGGCCTACTTCCCCCCTGTAAGCCCTCTTCGAGTCGTCTCCCCGCCACCCACAGCACGTGCACTCCTAGTGGGCCCAAACCGCGCCATGCCTGGAAGGGAATCCCATCTGGGCCCGGTCGGGAGTTGCCGGCGATGCGCATTGCTTGATGGATGTCGTTGGACCGCAGGCGCCAGCGAGCAGGCGGTAGCGTCAGACGTTGGGCCCCAGCGCGCGTGGCAACCGCTGCCCAAGTAGTCAGCTTCGTTTCGTCCACTGGTTTGTGCACGAATGCCCTGCGCCAGTGAGCAGCCAGCTGCGCGGCGATCACATTCTCGTCGGACTGGACATACCCCCTGCGACATACCCCTGATTGGGGTCTCGCAAGACGCGTTTGGGGGGCTGGCTTGTCGCCCCAGGGACTTGTTTCGGCTTCTTTCGTCAGGGGGCCTGGGGCTGTCAGACTCTCGGAAAGCATCAACTTGCAACCTGCTCCGGCCGCCGCGCTGGCCGAGACCGCCGGGCCCCGCGCACATCGTTCCAGTAGGCGCGCGCACCGTTGGGAGCAAACGCCGAAGGTTCTGGTGGGGATCGCTCGGAGCAAAATAGTTCTGTGTAGAAGGTATACATAATGATTCCAGCTAGCGAAATACAATGGCAAATCATTAGATACAGAAGCTGGTCGCCAAACGATTAGCAGAAGAAGGCGCCACGCAACACACCACCAAAGAACAAAGCAAATCAGAAGAACAGGCTCTTGAAACCTCCAGATTCCTAGTCGCCAATCGGGCCTTCCTCGGGGATCCTCGTCGGCCACTCTTGGAACGTCGACGAGGTCTTCTTGGGCCGTGTTAAAGCAGTCTTGGAGGGCACTGGGGGGTTTGAGGGCCACCTGGAGCCGAGGGAGAGAACCCAAGGAGGCCCCGGGGGCGGGAGGGGGAACTTACCTGACTCTGACGGTCCGGGGCCCCCGGGCGAGGTTTTCAGTAAATGATCTCAATCGTCGCCCTGGCTGGCCATCCATAGCTTTCTCCTCCCCAGGTCCCCTTCTTCTGTCTCTCCTGCCCCCATCCCTCCTCCTCCTCCTCCTCCTCCTCCTCCTCCTCCTCATCTTCCTACCTATCCCGCTTCCCCTCATCCATCTTCGCCTCCTCTGCCTCCTCTGCTGTGATCGCGCAGTTGCTTACTCTGCCTCGCTCAAGGGCGTGTCGACAGACTTCTGGACTCCAGCCTCGACGGCTACAGAGCGCGAAACAAGTACATGCTTGCAAGCACGCCTGTCTACAGCAAATCCTGCCACGTCATATTCATATTCGCATGCCTGCGTCCTTTCTGCCTTGATCGATCAGCACCGCTGGGGGGGTGTCCCGAGAGCTGCGTGGGATCCTCTACGTTGAACGCCCATGCCCGCGCCGGCGCCCCGCCCACGAACCTGAATACCTGTTGCTGCTGGGTCTCCTCCTCCTCCTCCGCTGTCCCCTCCTCGGTACGGCCGAACTCATCTCGCACCCCGCGTCGAGCTGTTGAGGGCAGGAATCAAAAAAGCAACTCACAGGAGGTCTGCGTTAGAACGGTTCTGGGCGATCCAGCCCGATAAAGGAGCCACGAAGACGGATCAAGACGGATTCGGCGGACTAGAACGGATGAGGCCGGATTGAGCGGGACTGAGCGAGATGAGGCCGGATTGTGCAGGAGTGGGCCGGGTTAGGCTGGCTTCCGACCACGAATATACAAGCGCCGACGATGCTGAATGTGGCATCCCGGGAGTTGCATCCTGACGGAGGGGGAGCGCCCGGGGGACGACGATGACGGAGAAGGTCGCGGCGACGGCCCCGCGGGCACGCGCGGTCTGCGACAGCTCTGCAGGCGCGCGGCCCCCGCAGCTAGGCCCTCAGGTCACGGGGCGTGGCCGAGTCGTCCAGGCTGAGGTGCAGCAGCATTTGGCGCATGCCGTCCTCGGTAAAGCACCTCATGAGGCGAGCAGGGACCTTCTTGGCCGCAGCGGCGCGGCACCACGCCGCAGTCGGAGGCAGCCGAGGGGCACCGCGGGGCCTCACTGGGCACAGCGAGGAGCGGGGAGAGAGCGCAGACCGGAGGGGAGGGAGCCGCGGACGGAGGCGAGCAGAGCCACGCAACTTTGAGTTACCCACAGACAGGCCCCCCCTCCCCCATGGTAACCCCAGCTGGCCGTAATAGGCCCCCGGACTAGCCAGGGGGCCTGTTTGGACTCCGGGACTACCTGGGAGGGCTGTCTGTGCACAGCCCGGAACTTTGCCAACCCGGTGAGCGAAGCGACCCAAAGGCACGTACGCCCGCCGCGGCCACGCGCGCACGCGAGACCACTCCCATAAGCAGGCCAGCGGGAACTGATCGCGCACGTGTGTACATGTGCGCGACGGTCAAAAACGGGCCTTACGCGAGATGACGCAGCGACCTTACGCGGCGGCTTACGCGGGCCGCCAGCGCGGCACGCCACAACGAAAACGAGGGCGCTTACGCGCGACCTTACGCGGGCAGCTTACGCGCCAATGTCGGCGCAGACGACTTTTTTTGCGTTGCTCATATGATGCTGGGGGGCAGAATAGGACCGATACTGCTACTCCACGAGCCTCTCCTGGCGTTTGCTCTGACCAGAACTTGCAGGAGCCTCCAAGCGTCACGACTACACCCCTCAAGGGTTTGCAACGCTATCGGTAACTTGGCGGATTCCGGAAACCACGAAAGTACAAATGTTGGAATCCCTTTGGAGGGCAACGTTTACTTGCACTGCCTTCCGCCGTCCTTCCGCCCCCTCAGCCGAGGAGGAGATGCTAACTCCTTCGGCCCTCCTCGAAAGCGAGGCCTCTTTGGAGCGCCCCAGGTGTTGCATGCCGCTGATCCCCAGACTTCTTCTGGGGTGCGTTCTGACTAAAGTTTCGAAGAGAATCCAACCGTGGCGACGAGACGAGAGCTCTCCAGGACGAGCAGCGGCATCGGCACCAGATCATCTTTCGAAATGCTGGCGCCCTGACCTGAGGGGGCCCACTGACCTGAGGGGCTGGATTCTGGCAACCTCGGACCCAAAAATGATGCAGTCTCACTTTTACTTCCCTCTACTTCCTTTTTTCCTCACTATCCCCTAATCGGTCTATGGCTATGGAAGTTTCGTGGTGGGCTTCGGTCTTCACCAATGCCAGGCTCCATCCAAAAACTGGATCGGATGCCCTGCAGCGAGGGTGCGTGGAGAGGCAGGGTCCAGGAATCTACTTCTGCCAGCTTCCGCCCGCTCCCGCTTCCCTTTCGCGTGCGTGCGCAGGCCGTCCGCCAGCTTCCGCTGGCTTCCGCCGAGGGCGAGTGCGCGCCGAAGACACTAGGCTTAAGTCGGGCGTGTCCCCCATACAGGGGACTTTCGACGAAAAGTAAGGAATACTCAAACAATCACTCCAAAATGGTCAAACAAATATTCAAAAAGTGGTCCCCAGACTATGGTTTGGCTATCTTAGAAGATTCCCCTTGTAGCGGGACCGGGCCGACCTGACAATAGGCCCTGTCTGGAGCGCCCTGGGCTCCTCCCAGGGTGCAGGGGCCGACGCGCACCAGCTCCCCCGAGCTGCGCCACACAGTGGCGACGGGGCTCCACCCGCCCCCTGACCCCTAAGTCGGGCCTGTCCCTCTACAGGGGGACTTTCGACGCAAAAGAAGAACTACTCAGGAAATATTCCAAAATGATCAAAAAATCTTCAAAAAATCGTCCCCAGAATATGTTTCGAAGATTCCCGCTGTAGAGGGACAAGCCCGACTTATCCCTACCCATCCCGCTGGAAAGACCAAATTCCGCTCTCTTGACTGGCGGGGGGTCCGCGTGGATGGGGTCGGAGGATCGCGCCGCATCGCCGATGCATCGGCGATGCATCGCCGATGCCACGGCGATGCATCGGCGAGGTCGGCGATGCATCGGCGCCGTCGGCATCGAGAAAGTCGGGCTCCGCATCGGACCGCATCGCCGATGCATCGGCGATGCGGCGCGATCCTTCGACCCCACCCACTCGGACCCCATCTGGGAGGCCTATAGATTGACTCGCTCTCCTCTGAATACTGCTGGCGGCGGGCACCCTGACCTGAGCGGGTCCCGCTCGAAGAGGCAGGCCGCCACGAGCCCCCAGCCTGGGAACAAGGAAAGGCGGCACCAGCACCAGCAGGGCGAGGAGGTGCGAGGAGGCAAGAGGAGTCTCCCTGGTGGTGTGGCCCCCCCCAGCTCGCTCGAGACATCCCCAGCACACAGCTCGGAGAGGCATCGTGGACCTCCTCGCTGGCGGTGGCCCCCCTGGTGGTGTTGGTATCGCTTCTCCTCCCTCCGACAGCCCGCCGCCCGGGCGGCGCCCGGGCCACCCGCGCGCCGGCGGCAGGCGCCGCAGAGCCGCGAGCGCCACAGGCGGCCCCCGGCCGAGCACCACGCGTCCGCGGCGCGCGCGGCCAGCAGCAGGGCCCAGGCGGGGACGACCGGGCCCACCAGCCGGCGGCCCAGCAGCCGCTCCTGGTGGTCGTCGGCTCTCGTCTCATGCTGCTCCCTGGTACGCAAGGACCACGTCCCAGAAATGGTTTCGAGCGCCTGGGAGCAGTGTCGACAGAGTGCCGAAGCAGCGTCGAAACAGCGTCGGACGAGCGTCTCCCAGAGCCCGACACGTGAAACCCATCGAGATTCGGTACTTGTTCCTGGTGCTCGCAATTCTTTCTGGTGGTCAAAGCCAAACTAGGTTGGAACATCAAAATTATCGTCGGTTTTCGGGGGTCTCGTTGGTTCTCTGCGGTTTTCCAAGCTCAAGATGCGTTCCATCGGCGGCGACTCGCCGAGAGCGTTCCGGGGTGCCCAGAGGTCCCGAACGACCGCTGGAAGCCCGAGCTATGACCCGAAAGCCGCCAGGGGATGGGCCCCAAGGGGGCCCTGAGATCCTGGCGCTGCAATTTCTTTCCCGGGGGCGTTTTCGAATAATTTTCCTGGGCCCGAAACCATCACAGATCGATGCGGCTCGAAAACTGCAGCGCGACGACGGGGTCTGGGGCTCTGAATCGCGAGTTTTCGCGATGCTGCATTTTGCTTACAATGTTGGATCTCGGCGGCGGTGCCCAGACGGGGGGGGCGCCAGAACAGCCCACCTACACACCGATCCTGGCTGGGCCCATCCTGGGCCCCTGCTGTCGTGACCAATAAGGCATACACATACGTCGCACCCGGCAGATGCGGATAAGAGTGGGGGGGCGGCGGGGACGTCGGCAGTCTGGGAGACTCTGGAGAAGCCCGCCGCGGGCGTCAACAATTCACAAATAAAACAACGAGCCCGCCGCTGGCGCCGACTTCTTCTTCAAACCAATGTGGATCGGTCGCGGGTGGGTCGCGAGTGGGTCGCAGGTGGGTCGCGGGCGGGTCGCGGGGTGGGTCGCAAATGGGTCGCAAGTGGGTCGCGGGTGGGTCGCGGATGGGTCGCGGGGTGGGTCGCGGGGTGGTTCGCGGGTGGGTCGCGGGCGGGTCGCGGGTGAGTCGCGAGGTGGTCGCGGGTGGGTCGCGGGTTGGTCGCGGGGTGGGTCGCGGCTCCACCTCCTCTCCTCCTCCTCCTCCTCCTCCTCCTCCTCCTCCTCTTCCTCCTCCTCCTCTTCCTCCTCCTCCTCCTCCTCCTCCTCCTCCTCCACCCCCTCCTCCACCTGGTCCTCCTCATCCTCCACCTCCTCTTCTGTGTCCTCCTTATCCTCATCCTCCTCATTTACCTCTATGTCCACCTCCTTCTCCTCCTCCCTCTCCTCCTCCTCCTCCTCCTCCTCCTCCTCCAACTCCTTCTCTTCTTTCTCCTTTTCTCTTCCTCCTCCTCCTCCACCACCTCCTTCTCCTCCTCCTCCTCCTCCTCCACCTCCTTCTCCAACTCCTTCTCTTCTTTCTCCTTCTTCTCTTCCTCCTCCCTCCTCCTCCACACCTCCTTCTCCTCCTCCTCCTCCTTCTGTTCCGGCTACTCCTTCTGTTCGCGTTCCTTCCTCCTCCTCCACCTCCTCTTCCTCCTCCTCCTCCTCCACCTCCTCCTCCTCCTCCTCCTCTCCTCCACTTCCGTCTCCTCCTCGACCTCCTACTCCTCCTCCTTCTCCTCCTCTTTCGTCGCCTCCTCCTGCTCCTCCGTCTCCTCCTCCTCCTCCTCCTCCTCGTCATCCTCCTCCTCCTCCAGCTCCCCCTCCTCTCCTCCTGCTCCTCCTCCCCCTCCTCCTCTCCTCCTCCTCCTCCTCCTCCTCCTCCTCACCTCATCCTCCTCCTCCTCACCTCCTCCTCCTCCTCGCCACCCTCCTCCTCCTCCTCCTCCTCCTCCTCCTCCTCCTCCTCCTCTCTCTTTTCGTCTACTCCTTCTCCTCCTCCCCACCTCCTCCTCCACCTCCTCCTCCACTTCCTCTTTCTCAACCTCTTCTTCCACCCTCCTCCTCCTCCTCTTGCGTCTCCTCCTTCTCCACATCCTCCTCCTCATCCTCCTCCTCCCCCTCGTCCTCCACCGCCTTCTCTTCCGTCCTCCTCCTCTCCTCCTCCTCCTCCTCCTCCTTCTCCTCCTCCGCCTCCTCATCGTCTTCCTCCTCCTCTGTCACCCCCTCCCCGCCTCTCATCCGTCTCCTCTTACTCATCATCTCATCATCATCATCATCATCATCATCATCATCATCATCATCATCATCATCATCATCATCATCATCATCATCATCATCATCATCATCATCATCATCAGCATCTTCCTCCTCCTCCTCCTCCTCGCCCCCATCACCAACTTATCCTCCTCTTCTTCCTCCTCCTCCTCCTCGCCACCTCCTTCTCCTTCCGTTTACTCCTTCGCCACCTGCTCCTCCTCCTCCACATCCTCATCCTCCTCTTCCTCCTCCTCCTCCTCCTCCTGCTCCTTCTCGCCCTCCTCCACCTCCACGTCCGTCTCCTCCTTCTCCACCTCCTCCTCTTTCTCTTCCTTCTCCTCGTCTTCGTCCTCCACCTCCACCTCCTCCTCGTCCGTCTCCTGCTTCTCCTCATCCTCCTCCTCCTCGTCCTCCTCCTCCTCCTCTCTTTTTACCCCCCCCCCCTCCTCCCCTCCTCCTCCCCCTCCTCCTCCTCCTCCTCATCCTCTCCTCCTCATCATCACCATCATCCTCATCCTTCTCCTCCTCCACCTCCTCCTCACCACCACCACCACCACCACCACCACCACCACCACCACCACCACCACCACCACCACCACCACCACCACACCACCTCCACCACCACCACCACCCACCACCACCACCACCACCACCACCAGCACAACCACCACCACCACACCACCACCACCACCACCACCACCACCACCACCACCCACCACCACCACCACCACCACCACCACCACCCCACCCACCACCACCCCACCACCACCACCACCACCACCACCTCCTTCGCCTCCTCTTCCTCCTCCTCCGCTTCCTCGCCACCTCCTCCTCCCCCTCCTCCTCCTCCTCCTCCTCCTCCTCCTCCTCCTCCTCATCCGCCTACGCCTCCACATCCTGCTCGTCCTCTTTCACCTCCTCCTCCTCCTTTTGCTCCACTTCCTCCGCCACCTCTTCCTCCTCTTCCGTGTCCTCCTTCTCCCCCTCCGTCTCCTCTTTGTCATCGTCCTCGTCCTCCACATCCTCCGTTTCCGTCGCCTCCGTCTCCTCATCCTCCTCCTCGTTCTCCTCCTCCTCTTTCACCACCTCCCCCTCTTCTCTCCTCCTCCACCTCCTCCCCACCCCACCTCTCCTCCACCACCCCCTTCTCATCCTCCTCCTCTCCCGCCTTCTCCCCCTCCTCCTCCACCTCCTAATCCTCCTCCTCGTCCGTCTACTCATTCTCCTCATCCTCCTCATCCTCTTAATTTTCCGTCTCCTCCTTCTCCACCTCCTCCTGCTCCATTTCCCTGTCCTCCTCCTCCACTTCCTCCTCTTCCTCCTCCTCCCCCTCCCCCTCGTCCACCTCCTCCTCCTCCTTCACCACATCCCCCTCCTCTCCGCTCCCTCCTCCTCTCCTCCTCCTCCTCCTCCTTCGCCACTTCCTTCTTCCTCCTCCTCCTCCTCGCCACCTCCTCCTCCTCCTCCTCCTAATCCTCCTCCTCCGTGTCTTCCGTCTCCTCCTTCTCCCCCCTCCTCCTCCTCCTTCCTCCTCCGACTCTTCCTCCTCCTCCTCCACCTCCACCTCCTCCACCTCCTCTTCCGTTCCCTCCTTCCCCAGCTTCTTCGCCTCCCTCCTCCTTTCTCCCCGTCCACCTCCTCCTCCTCCTCCTCCTCCACGTTCGTCCCCTCCTTCTCCTCATCCTCCCCCTCCTCGTTCGTCTCCTCCTTCGCCACCTCCTCCTCCTCTTCCTCCTCCTCCTCCGCATCCTCCTCCGCCTCATCCTCCGCCTCTCCTCCTCCTCCGCCTCCTCCTCCTCCTCCTCCTCCTCCTCCTCCTTCTCCTCCTCCTCCTCCTCAGTCGTTCTGGTTCAGGTGTTGGTTCCTGAGCTTGCAGCAGCAGTCTTCAGAGCAGTCGCTGCTGTGAGCCTTGGCTCAGTTTTCTTCTTTCAGTTCGTGGGACCTCAGTCCACACTCTTGCATCATCATACGAGCCCGCTGGGCTCTCATGGCCAATGGAGGTGCTGAGGTCCTACCTGGACCGAGGGCGCCGACGTGGGCCTGCATCTGTGGGCGCAGCACCAACTGGGCGCCCAGGATCGTGCGCAAGTGCGGCAAGAAGGCCCCACCAGAGGTTCGCCGCGCAGCAGAGCAACATGCGCGCGGCCAGCAGCACCGTCCTCGTGGTGCTCCTCCAGGTGGCGGTGGCAGCCGCGATGACAAGCTCCAGAAGCGCTTGGGCGAGCCCCAGCGTAGGTTCGACACGCTGGCCTTTGGCGCCCCCCCCCCCAGTGGAGGAGGCCAAGCGACGGCCAACACCAATGGCAAGGACCCGCCGAAGGATCCCAAGGAGCAGGAGCTACGAGACGGCATCAAGCAGCTTGAAGTGGCCATCACCCACTGCGAGAAGCTTGGTGAGTCAGGCAAGAGCGCAAGGGCTGAGTTGGAGGCCAAGCTCGAGGCAGTGCGGCGTGAGCTTCTCCAGTGCAAGCCCCAGTTCACGCAACACACCAACGTGGGCCATCGTTTGGCAAGTGCGAAGGGTAAGAAGCAGAGACTTGAGCATCATATCGAAGAACAGTTACTCTTCATTGCAAGTGCTCAAGAGAAGATTGACGGTATGCGGGCACACGCTGCAGCGACGGATCGTGAGATTGAGCCCCTCACCCGAGACCACATCCGTACTCTTCCTGGTACTCCTGTTATGGATCTTGAGATTGGCCCTGATATATTGGCTGCGTCTAGCGAGGAAGTACAGATCAAGGAGATGCTTCAGTCTGGCACGTCCAAGAAAATTGCGGAGCTGCTGGCGGCCTCTCAACAGTCGAAGGCGACACCTACACCGCTTGTGGCATCTCCCTTCACGGCGAAGGGCGGCGGCTCTTCTGGTCCAGGTGGTGCTCCTGG